GCTTCCCCCGACGGCCGGGCGCGCCCCGGCACCCCTCGCTGCCCCGCAGCCCGCGTGCGCGCGCCGGCCCTCCAGGCCCTGCTGGCGTTTGGTGAGCCGGGGACCCCCGTCTGTGCGCCGCAGAAGACCCCTTCCGGCTTGCCCAGGGTGGCCCAGGCGCTCCTCCTGAGAGGGGGCGGACACCTGGGTGATACACAAAAACTCCCAAGGGCCCGCATCCTCCTACCCGGCAGCACCCACGCGCAATTGCGCCCCGCGTGGCCGGAGCGACTTTCGCTTTGCACCCCGAGCCGCGAAGGCGCAGCGCCCTCTGGGGTCTGTCAGTGGCTCCAAGCTCCGGCCCGTGCGACGGGCGTGGGACCACGCTGGCCAGGCCTTGGTGGTTTGGGGTGGAGGACAGCCGGGCTGCCGTGGCACTGGACGGCTGCGTCTCACTGCGGTCTGGACTGGGGCTTGGGGACTGCTTCCAGACACACCTGCCCTACTGTGCGGCTGGACCTTAATCGGTGTTCGCAGATCCTAGGAAAAGCAGCCAGAGCACCTGCTGTCTGTCCAGTTGGTTGAGGGAGCGGGTTTGAGTCCCTGGATGTGTTGAGCTCCTAATCCAGGCCGCATCGGTTTGCCTGGGTCTTCGCACTGTCGTGGGCAGGAAAGGAGAAAGGAAGAGAGCCCATGTCTGTGGACCTGCACCAAGGCTAGCATGTCCAAACTCGCCTGCATTGGGAAAAGAGTGGAACTAGAGGCAGGGTTTCGCAGGACCAGGGGAGACGGTAGCCACCGTTGAGCCTCAAGACACCAGCCGACTGAGGTCAGCCAATCACCAGCTCAGACCTGTCAACTCTCCAAAACACACAGGAATGCAGGCCTTCCTGAGACTTAGTCGGTGGCTAGCTTTGCCTCCAAGACGCACCTCTAGTCTGAAGTGCTGCAAAGAGATGGGAAAGTTTCAAAAATCCTCAGACATTGTTCTAAAGGTGCTGAACGACATGTGTCCAACTGCTAAAGTAGCAAAAGATGGAAAGGTAACTAAGGCAGGAACTGCTCAATGAAGCGAAAATGTATCCTACAGTGTTCTCTGTAGCAGCTGAAGAGGCTCAAACAGCTCTCCCTATATCAATAGGAACAGCCTTAGATACAGTGTTATCACTGGGAAAAGCCCCCAGCCATCCTCAATGCAACAGAGCAGCCTCAGCATGTAAGACGCCCACCCTGGGAGGGAGGGTCTGGCTTGAGACACCTTTTGGTGTCATGGTTGGTTACATACATGTGTCACCTAGGCTAAACAAAATTCACAAAACGGACCAGAGCCTTACTGTCAGAACGTCCTACCTGTTGTTTGCCAGGATGTTGTTTGTAGCTGAGGACGACCGTGAACCTGTGAATTCCACCTCTTGGAATTACAGGTGTGCACCACCTTTCGTAGTTCCTGCAGTGCTGAGAGGGGTGCTGTTTCCTGGACAGAGAGGAAGGGGCAGGGCCAGAATAGAGGGGCTCAGCTCTGCCACTCCTGTCCCCACCTGTTGCCCAGAACTGATACAATCGTCATTACCCCATGTGTCCGTCAGTGGGTGAATGGGTGGGCAAACACGGTGGTTCATCATGCAGTTGAGTGTTATTGGCCATAGCAAGGAATCACACCCTGACACCACTCAACCTGGATGAACCTGGAAAACACTAGACAGGTGTTAGGAGTCTGATGCAACCATTTTATATGAAGACTTGAAAAACAAATGTTCAAACAGAACCCGGATTGTGTGTTGAGAGTGGACAGTGGACAGAGGTGGAAGTAGACCAATGGGCTGCTCCAAACTCTGTCCATCCACGGGGCCATCTGCCCACTTTGAAATTGCAGGGGTTTTTTATTTTGCTTTATTATATTTATTTTCATTTTATGTGTATAAGGGTTTTGCCTGCATGTGTAAGTATACCCATGTCATACAAAGCTTGCAGAGGCCAGAAGAGGGCATCAGATCCCCTGGAACTGGAGTTAGGATGGTTGTTAGCTGCCATGTGGGTACTGGGGGTCAAACCCAGGTCCTTTGGAAGAGCAGTCAGTGCTCTTAACCACTGAACCATCTCTCCAGCTCCCCCCCCCCCCTTTGAGACACTGTCTCCCTGTAGCCCCAACTGGCCTGGAACTCCCTATGGAGTACAGTCTTGCATCAATCTCACAGAGATTGCCTGTCTCTGACTCCTGAGTGCTGGGATCAAAGGCCTGCACCACCGTACTGTGTGTGTGTGGGGTGTGTGTGTGTGTGTGTGTGTGTGTGTGTGTGTTTAATGTAGAATAAACCTGCTACCCTTCAGATGATCCTTGAAGACATGCAGCACGGAGGAAGGTGGACACAAAGGGAAAAACGCTGTGACTCCACTTCTCATGAAATATATTTTTTTATTTACTTATCTAGTTCTTGGAGACAGGTCTCACGTTGTAGCCCAGGCAGGCCTGGAAATCAGTATGTAGCCCAGGCTAACCTCAGTCTTACAGGGTCCCCCAATCTCAACTTCCAAGTGCTGGGATTACAGATGTGTGTTGCCACATCTCACTTTATAAAATATCTACATTAGGCTGGTTCACAGAGAATAGAAGACTGGCTGCCAGAGGAGAGGAGCTGAGGAGGAGGATTGTTGAATGGGAACCCAACTTCAGTTTAGGATTCTGAAAAGATTCTACAGCCAAATGTGGCAACACAAATGAGTCATCCCAACACTTGGAAGGCAGAAGAAAGCTGGGCGTGGTGGCGCACACCTTTAATCCCAGAACTTGGGAGGCAGAGGCAGGCAGATTTCTGTGAGTTAGAGGCCAGCCTGGTTTATATAGTAAGTTCCATGCCAGCTGAAGACTACAGGGAGACCTTATCTCAAAAATATAAAAAAAAAAAAAAAAAAAAAAAAAAAAAAAAGAAGAGAGAGAGAGAAAAAAAAGAAGGAAGGAAGGAATGCAAGTTTCAGGTCAGCTTGAACTATCTATGAAGACTTGTCTCCAAAAAAGAAAGAAAAATGGGCATTGTAAATGTGCTTAAAAGCCTCTCACTTAGGGGGCTGGACAGATGGCTCAGTGGTTAAGAACACCGTTCTTACAGAAGACCTGGGTTCATATCCCAGCACCCACATAGCAGCTAACTGTCTATAACTCCAGTTCCAGGGGATCCAACAGCCTCTTCTGTCCTCTGAGGGCACTGCATGACACAGATGGACTTACCTACATGCAGGCAATACAGGCATATACATAAAAAAATAAAGCTGGGCGTGGTGGCACACGCCTTTAATCCCAGCACTTGGGAGGCAGAGGCAGACGGATCTTTCTGAGTTCGAGGCCAGCCTGGTCTACATAGTGACTTCCAGGACAGCTGGGGTTACAAGGAGACCCTGTCTCAAAAAGACAAAAAATAAAATAAAGAATAAATATCATGGGGCTGGAGAAATGCCTCAGTAGTTAAGAGCACTGACTGCTCTTGCAGAGGACCTGGGTTTGATTCCCAGCACCCACATGGCAACTAACCACAGTCCTTAACTCCAGTTCCAGGGGAATCCAAAGCCCTCTTCTGATCTCCGCGGCACTGCACAATACAGGTGCACTCACATACATGCAGGCAATACACTCATACACGTAAAATAAAAATAATGAACTATTTTTTTAAAAGCCTCTCACTTAAAAATGGCTTAAATGAGTACTGATTGCTCTTGCAGAGGACCCAAGTTCAATTCCCAGCACCCACATGGCAACTAACCACAGTCTGTAACTCCAGTTCCAGGAAATCCAACACCCTCTTCTGACCTCTGCAGACATTGCATGACATGGGAGCACTTACACATGTGCAGACAATTCATTCGTACACAGAAAATAAAATTGATAAATAAAATATTTTTTAAATGTTTTAAATGGTGCTAGAGTCATGGCTCAGTGGATAAAAGCACTGGTTGCTCTTGCAGAGTACCCAGGTTCATTTCCCAGCACCCACGTGGCAGCTAACAGCCATCTGTAACTTCAGTTCCAGGGGAATCTGAGGCCTTCTTCTGACTTCCTTGGGCATTGCACAACACAGGTGCACTTACATACATGCAGGCAATACACTCATACAACATAAAATAAAAATAATAAATGGGGCTGGAGAGATGGCTCAGTGGTTAAGAGCACTGACTGCTCTTGCAGAGGACCTGGGTTTGATTCCCAGCACCCACATGGCGGCTATGGACTGTCCTTAACTCTAGTTCCAGGGGAATCCGAAGCCCTCTTCTGACCTCCATGGCATTGCACGACACGGGTGCACTCACATACATGCAGGCAATACACTCATACACAGAAAAATAATAAAATATTAAGATAATAATAAATAAAAAGTATAATGGTTAAAGTGGTAAGTTTATGCTGTGTTATTTACCATAGTGAACAATTATAGGACAGTTTCCAAGCAGCACACCCTAAGCCCTGCTCCATCTGATCCCAGAGGCAGCTGCATTGCCGGCTTCTCCAGCATAATCTTTCCCTGACTCCTGGCCAGCAACTGTGATATTTGGGGAGCTATTATTTCAACTCCCTAGGCACATTCCTGCTCAATGCTAGGCCCCTCTTCTTGGAAGCAGAGGGCTCCATCGATCACTGGAAAGCTAGTCTGTGCCTTCCTTTTCCCTCAGGTTGCAGGATTCCTCCAAGGAGGATGATTCAGCCTGGGCACAGAGCTGGGCTCCGCTGAGATACCACCCCAGCAGATGGGGCATTCGTGCCTCCTTCCTCCATTCAGGGTCAGCAGCTAGTAGCTCCAGAAGGCCCCTCAGGACTGAAAGGGCTGGGAATACTCACATTGGGAAGTACACCTGGAGATGGCCTGTGCCCTCCTACCTTCTAGGGTAC